TAATTTTTTAAACGTTTATTTATTTTTGAGACAGAGAGAGAGAAAGAGCACGAGCGGGGGAGGGGCAAAGAGATATGGAGACACAGAATCCAAAGCAGGCTCCAGGCTCCAGGCTCCGAGCTGTCAGCACAGAGCCCAACGTGGGGCTCAAACCTATGAACCATGAGATCATGACCTGAGCCAAAGTCAGACCCTTAACCAACTGAACCACCCAGGCGCCCCAAACTTTAAACTTTATTTTGAATAGATTACAGATTCACAGGGAGTTGCAGAAGTAGTATAGAGCAGTGTAGAGCATGCTTATAGTACAACATCAAAACCAGGAATCTGACAATGCGTGTGTGTTTGTGAGCATGTGTGCAGTTCTGTGTCATGGGAGGAGATTCATGTAATCCAGTGCAATCAACGTACAGGATTATTCTATCACCACAAGGATCTCCTACTACCACTTTATAGTCAAAATCATTCCCCTTTCTCCCATTCTTAACTAACCCTGGCAACCATTAATCTGTCATTTCAAGAATGTTATATAAATGGAATCGTAAGTAGGTGATCTTTCGAGGTTGGCTTTTTTCACTCAGCATACTCCTGAGAGTCAGTCAAATGATTGCATGAATCAATGGGTCGTTCCTTTTCCTTGTTATGAAGTAATTCATGGTGTGGATGTACCATAGTGTGTTTAAGCATGAGGGCATGTTGGTTGATTTCAGTTTTTGTCTATCACAAATAAAGAATCTATGAACAATTGCATTCGGGTTTTCACTTTTCCATAAGTTTCTAATTCTTTGGGATAAACGCAATTACTGGGTTTTATGTTTAGTGTTTTGTTTTATTTTGAGAAACTATCAAACTGTTTTCAGGAGTGGCTGTACCATTTTACATTCCCATCAACAGTGTGTGAGAAGTCTACTTTAATTTCTTCTTTTCCAATTTGTATGCCCTTTATTTCCTTGCCTTGCTTTATTGCTCTGGCCAGAACATCTAGCATTAGATTAAATAGCATCAGTGAGGTGCACATACTTGTCTTACCCAATTTTATAGGGAAAGCATTTGGTCTTTATTACGTACAAGGATAGCTGTGGGTTTTTCATAGATGCTGTTTATCAGATTGAGAAAGTCTCCTTTTATTCCTAGTTTGTTGAATTTTTTTTATCATTAATAAGTATTTGATTTTGTCAAAATATTTTTCTGCACCAATCGCTATGGCCATGTTTTATTTTCTTCATTAACCTCTTATTATCATGGATTGCATTGATTTTCAAATATTGGAACAGCCTTGCATCCCTGGGATAAACTTCACTTGGTTGTGGTCTATAATTCCTTTCATATATTGCTGGATTGCTAGTGTTTTGCTAAGAAGTGTTGCCTCTATTTTTAGGAGGGAGGCTGATCTGTAGGTCTGTAGTGATACCCCGATTCATTACTGGTATTAGTAATTTGTGTCTTCCCTCTTTTTGGTCAGTGTTGCTACAGGTTTATCAATTTTATTTACCTTTTGAAAGAACTTTTTGTTTCGTTAATTTTCTCCACTGCTTTCAAATGTCATTGATTTCTGGAGCACCTGGGTGGCTCAGTCAGTTAAGCATCCGATTCTTGATTTCAGCTCAGGTCATGATCTCACAGTTGTGAGACTGAGCCCTGCATCGCTCTCCACACTGAGCAAGGAGCCTGCTTGGGGTTATCTCTCCCTCTCCCTCTGCCCCTCCCCCGCTCACACTTTCTCTCTCTCTCTCAAAATAAATAAATAAGCATAGCTTAAAAATAAAATTTCATTGGTTTCTGCTATCTTTGTTATTTTCTTCTGCTTGCTCTGGGGTTATTTTACTCTTTTTTTTTTTCTCATTTATTTTTAGCTTGTTTGCTCTGAGACTGTTTCCTTTTCTAATGTACGCAGTGTTACAAATTTCCCTCTCAGCACCACCGTGGCTGTGTCCCACAGGTTTCCGTATATTGTATTCTCGTTTTCATTCAGTTCATTTATTTTTTTACTCTATATAACTTCAATTCTTTTAAATTTGTTAAGGTGGGTTTTTTATGTCTTGGTCTGTCTTGGTCTGTGTTCTGCAAATGTTTAAAAAGAATGTGTTTTCTGTTGTTGTTGCCGTTGGGGAGTGTTCTACACATGTTGACTAAATTTCTGGTTGATGGAATTGTTGAACTCTTCCATGACATGCGGGGTGGGAGTTGGCCTTACTGCTGCTGAGCGGTGGTAAAAGTCCTGACTCTTCATCTACTTCCCTCTAAGACCACCCTAGAGAGGAAGGAGGGGGTACCTCCTTACTATCAATAGGGGGTGGAAGTTCAGGTTCCCCATATGGAATCACAACACCATATTGGTGAGAGTCTTCTGCCCAAGGAAAATGGAAGTCCAGCTCTCCACTTAGCCTTCTCTGACATTATATCAGCAGAGGGAGGAAAAGGGTAGTGGTGTCCCTTTAGAGCTTACCTTGAGAGGAAGCCTAAGCTTTGTCTTTGCTGGCAGGGGTGGGTGTGGGGCTAAATATTTTTCAGAGGTTTTGGCTAGAGTAGAGCCAATTTAAATTTTCTGTCTTCCAAAGCTGCCCCTTTCTTGGTATATCTAGTTAGAGGGAGCAGCGGTCTTTTCTTGGGGGCTTTGTCTTTGCATGTAGGCATTTCTAGATTGCCTGCCTCTCTAGTACCAGTCTGGGGTCATGAGGCAAAAACAAAAACAAACCTCAGGGAACTCAGCACCATGTTGTTCCCAAGGCCCTAGCCAGTCTGCCTTCTCTCCACTTTTCAGACACTTTTTATGCTTTTTAAATAAAAAGGGTTTTTAGTGGTACTCAGCAAAAGGAAAAGTGTGTCTATTCTATCTTCCTAGTAAGTCCCGGTCCCATTTTCATTGAAAGCCATGGTGCTGTGCTAGCCTGGGGTCAGTTTGTATATATCCTGGCTGGGAAGTTAGAGTTCTTCACTTGCATTTGACAGAAGATCCAACTCAAATTGGTTGTAAAAACATTGGAATTTATTGTCTTGCTTCCAGAATGACTCCAAGCAGGGCTGGAGTGTATGTTAGCTAAAGGGATGGATGACGGCTTGGAAAAATAACCCTAGAAAACTGGCTCAGTCTTGCAGTAAGGACTCAGGATCATATTGGGTTTATTATTGGGACATTTGCACTTTCTGAACTAGCAAGTAGGAGTCTAGAGTTTCCAGAACAGTGGAGAAGGGACAGGAGGGTCTACAAGTTCCTGTAAAAATATCTAAGGAAAGCATATGAAACATATTATTTGAAAAGATCAGCTAACATTTAGTTTAAAATATAATTTCCTGTTTCTAGATTTTCTGAGTACTTGTGGGGCTTTCCATGAAATATTAACTGGCTAAAGTGAATAAAAGCAATGCACAGAGCAGTACCTACTGTATGCTGTTTGTACAAGGCACAGTGGGGAGAATGGCAAATATATAAGTAATTGCTTGATTATGCATAAGACAGCGACGGAAAGACAAACACAGCTCATGGCATTGTTACCTAGTGGGAAGAGAACTGGGGACCTGAGAACAGGAAGGCAGACTTTTTAACTTACAATACTTTTGCCATCTCTTGAGTTCTGATCTATGAGAATTCTCAGCTTATCAACATCCTGTTTCCACAGTTCCACTACAAACAACTTCAGATCTTTTTAAAATTTTACTGGTAAGAATTACTTATATCTTCTCAATAAGAATCATTTTCAGATACATGTACAGCAAATATCTTCTCCACTCTCTTGCTTGCACTGTACTCTCTTTTGTCTTTCCGAGTTTTAAATTTAAGGACGGCAGTGTATCAGCCTTTGCCTTTAGGGTCGGTACTTTTTTGTGTCCTGCTAAAAAGGATCTCCCCATTCCACGGTCACAACGTCGCGCTGTTATTTTCTAGAATTGTACCTTTCACTGAAGAGCCAAAAATTAAGTCCTCCATTAAGAGAAACCTCGGGCTGCACGTAGCCCCAATCCCAGTCCCAATCTCAGACTGTTCAAGGCTAAAGCCATCCTTGGACCGCCCTCAGTTCAGCTAATCAAAAAACATTCCTATGGTCTGAGTCAAGGCTGGGAACTGCAGATACAAACTAGCCGATTTCTCACCGCTTGCCTGAACCCCACGTGGGCCCTTTGAACTCACCTCATAATTGGTCATTTTCAAAGCATTCTCAAAAGTCTTGATTGGGTCCCACCAAACGTAATGAACACCTCACAGATACTGAATGGTCTAAGTTGTAATTGTAATTGGTGCTTACGTGATGATGTTGCATGTGCTGTAACACCCCCAATCCCTTACTCCTTAAAAACCCTATTCGCTATTGTTCTTGACTTCATCTTGCTGCCAGACACCGGTAGGCGGATGAGCCCCTGCTCGAGCTTGTAATAAAGACCCTTTTGTATTTGCATCGGTGTCGGCTCCTTGGAGGTCTCTGGGAACTCGCGAATCGGGCACAACATCACATTTAGGTGTACTCTTGAACTGATTTTTTTTGTATGAGGTAGAAGTCAAGGCTCTTTACCCACCTCCACTCCCCTACTGTCATTCAAGTGATCTAGCACCACTTACCAAAAATAACTTTCCTATTGCCTTACGATGGCTCCTTTGCGGGGGGGCGGGGGGGTAATGCGTCTACAAACCTATGGATTTATCTCTAGCCTCTCCTTTTCCAGTGATCTTTTCATTTATCTTTGCTGTTTTAATTATGTCTTTATAATTTATAATAAGTCTTGATAACTGTAGCAGATATTCTCCAGTGTCCGGACCACGTTCCCCACCCTCGACCCGAACACGCTAACCGAGAGAGCGCTCGAAACCCAAACCACGACCTTCCGAATTGCCCTTCAGAAGATGGAAGGAAGGTAATTAGGAGGAGTCAGCCTTTCTGCCCTCAGAGTCCTGCGCGTCCTACCTGCGCCTTGAGGGGCGCAACGCGGCACGCATGCGCGGCCTGAAGGCCGGGATTGGACCGAGCCGCACGGGCTGGGCGAGGGAGGTCTCGCGTCACTTCCGAGGTGGGAGGAGGAAGTTGATTGACCACGGTCACTGAGGCGACCAGGTAGGGGCTACGGAGGAAGCGACCTTGGTGGCGAGGGGCGGAGGGACGCTCCCGGAGCTGAGCGGGCGTGTCCTGACTCGAGTGCTCTCTTGGCCCCTGGTGAGGGGAGGGAAGCGGGTGTGGAGGCCGCGGACCCCGAGGGGCCTCCGGCGGCCCGCCGCCCCTCATTTTGAAGGAAGGCTCAGCGCCAGCATTTACCCTGCGGTTCCGCCTCTGGAGCTTTCCCCAGGGCCGCCGGCGCCTTCGCTGAGGTCCCAGCGGCGGTGTGTGCGGCCGGAAGGGGCTGTGACCGGCCCGGGCTGTGCCGAGCGCCAGCTGTGCGCTCCCAGCTCGGGCCTGTCCATTTCCCCGAATCCGCATTCGCGGACGTAGGCCGCACAGCGCACGCGCGACCAGGGCTCCAGCGCCGGAGGCTGGTGGCGCTGGCGCCAGGTGTCAGAGACCTGGGGCTAGCAAGAGAGATCCCGTTTTCGCACGGCAGGCGAGAGTATTGACTGTTGGGCGCCCGCAGCAGGGGCTGTTTTATTAGCCTACTCGTCCAGTCCTTGCCGTGACGCTTCTTGCCCATGTGACTTTGGGCAAATGCCTTAACTCTTGGCGCCTGTGTACTCTGCTGTAATTTTGGGAATAATACGCCCACATTCGTGAGGTTGTTGTAAAACGTAAATGAGATTGCCTGTAGAATGCACCCTCCCCCCCGCCCCCGCAATGTCTGGCACATAGTAGTTACTCAGTAAATGGTACCTGCACAATTCTCCTTTAATTTCCCTTTGGTATAGTGATTTGAGAGTTGAGAAGTTACTTTTGGAGTAACTTCTGGGCTTCATGTACACCGTGTTTGTGAACGAATAATTGATTCTCGTAGTGGAATTGTCAGGAAGTGCTTTTCACGTCTATCCCAAGCTGTATGGACCTAGAGCAGGGGCAGAGTTGGTGGTGAGGAGAACAAAGAGGAAGTCAGTTTCTGCAGAAGTGGCAGGTGGAAAAAGGGATCCTCAGCTGGATGATCCAGAGATACAATGAGTAAAATGGTGGAAATCTTGAGAAGGATAGGGAGGGGAACTAGGTTTTTGAACACCCACCAGAATGTTTTCTCTCTTACTCCTCACCACAAAAGAGCAGAGTGGGTGATATCTTCATGTGCTTTCAGTGGAGTTATGCAACAAAGAAGTGGAGGAGGCAGGCTTTGAGAACTGTGTAAAATCTAGTCATTCTGGTACGGAGGTTGCCTTTGAAGAGGTCCTTGTTAAAGAAGTTATTATTCAAAAGGTAATCTGGAGGCTTGTCATAATGTAGTTTTATGTACCTACAGAGGTCCCCCAACTTTTTTCCCAAGGTAGTGCTGCTTTTTATTTCTCCTGAGGCTTACGATAGGAAGGAGTGGAGATGGGAAAAGAAGTCGGGTCATGACTGGGCCTTGGTCAGGGTTGATCAGTAAGACTGAGTGCTCCTTGGCGGGGTTTTCTGAGATGGTATTCTGCCATCCCCCAAAACAATGTGATAAGGCTTCCACATTAACAGTTGACTACAGTTTATGTAGTCCCGATAAGCTTCCTTTAAAAGGAGGCATTATAAAAATGGATTTGCATAAATTACGTCTTGTTGAATTTCAAATCTTTTTCAGTAAGCAGAAGACCACCTAATTTGTTTCATTGTTTTCCTTTGCCACATTTAAAGCTTCATTAGAATCATTCCTTTTATTCCTTGGTGGGGATTTCTTTTATTGTAGAAAACACAGTCTTTGGAGAAGAAAACACATTTATACCATTGAAAAGGATCTTTGTTGTAATTTTTTTTCTGGATTGTAGATTGATTAGGAACCTGGTCAACACATTAACACAGTAGTTACCGTATGTTAATTTTATGGCATATACTGAGCCATTTACCCAAGAGGGAAGTACTATTTTACTTCCATTTTTACAGAGGAAGAAACTGAGGCTCAGAGAAAGTCAAATGATGTGTCTACATTTGGAGAATCTGAGAACAGAAACAATGTTAAAGGGAGGGTCTCTTAGGATGCCAGACAGCACTGGAACAAAGGGACATTTTCTCATGAAGGCAGTTTCCTACTGGGAGGAAACGGCACTTATCCTCAAGCAAAAGCCTAGTGTTTTATCTGCATGTCCTGGGCCACCGTCAGCACAGCTGGACTGGGTCCTCTAGGCTCTGAAGCCCAGGTCTGGAACGCACTGCCTTGCGGTAATGGATCGCTGATGGGCTTTGCTTTGAAAGGACCTGATGCTGTACACAAGAGCGTGCAAGCCGTATAAATGCATGATCACTCCACATCCAAAAACAGTCTTGGCTTTATAAACAGATCTATTTAGGTTTCTTTTTTACTTAAAACTTTTTTTCTTGATTTTTAAAAATTTTAATTCCAGTACAGTTAACATACAGTGTTGTATTAGTTTCAGGTGTAGATAACGTGATTCAACAATTCTGTATATTACTTGAGGTTCGTAAGATAAATGTACTTTTAATTCCCTTCACCTATTCATACCCCTCCCGCATACACCTCCCCTCTGGTAACCATCTGTTTGTTCTCTATAGAGTCTTTTTTTTTTTTTTTTTTTTTTTTTTTTTTTTTTTTTTTTTTTTTTTTTTTTTTTTTTTTTTTTAGTTTCTCTCTCTCTCTCTCTCTCTTTAAGTTTATTTATTTATTTTGAGAGAGGCAGAGAGCGAGCATGAGCTTGAGAATCCCATTCAGGCTTTGCACTGCCCACACAGAGCTGGACGTGGGGCTTGAACTCACAAACCATGAGACCATGACCTGAGCTAAAACCAAGAGTCAAATGCTTAAATGACTGAGCCACCCGGGGACTCCATTTGTTTGTCTTTTTTGAAACAAACAAAAACTTGGTATTTGTCTTTTTCTGACTTACTTTGCTTAGTATTCTACTCTCTGGCTCCATCCATGTTGTTGCAAACGGCAAGATTTCATTCTTTTTTATGGCTGAATAACACCCCATTGTATATATATACCACATCTTATCCCATCATCTATTGATGGACACTTGGGCTGCTTCCATAATTTGGCTATTGTAAGTAATGTTACAATAAACATAGGGAGGCATATGTCCTTTTGAATTAGTGTTTTTATAGTCTTTGAGTAAATACCCAGTAATGCGATTACTGGATTGTAGGGTTGCTCTATTTTTAATTTTTTGAGGAACCTCCGTACTGTTTTCTACAGTGGCTGCAGTAGCTTGCATTCCTGCCAACAGTGCAAGAGGGTTTTCTTTTTCTTCATATCCTCACCAATACTTGTTTCTTTTGTTTTTGATTTTAGCCATTCTGACAGGTGTGAGGTAACATCTCATTGTAGTTTTGATTTGCATTTCCCTGATGATGAGTGATGTTGAGCATCTTTTCATGAGTCTGTTGGCCATCTGGGTGTCTTTGGAGAAATGTCTGTTCATGTCTTCTGCCCATTCTTTATTTGGGCTATTTGGTTTCCGAGTATTGAGTTTTATAAATTCTTCATATATTTGGATACTGACCCTTTCTCAGATATGTCATTTGCAAATATTTTCTCGCATTCAGTAATGGGTTGACTTTTAGTTGTGTTCTTTCCTTCACGGTGCAGAAGGCTTTTATTTTGATGTAATTACAGTAGCTTCTTTTTGCTTTTGTTTCCTTTGCCTCAGAAGATGTATCTTGAAGGAAGTTGCTGCAGCCGGTGTCAGAGAAGTTATTCCCTGTGTTCTCTTCTTCAGAGTTCTTTTGGATAATACCATTCCTATAGTATACTTAAAATATTTCATTCAGAGTTGCAACTATATGTTTGTATAAAGGAGCTGTGTTTGTGTTTTAGTCAAGAGCATGGAATGAATGTACCTTCCCTAACATATGAATTGCTCTTTTCCTCCACTTTTTAAGAATAATAATAGTTAACATTCATTGAGTGTTATGTGCCGGAGTTCATACTAAGCATTTTATTAGATTATTCAATTCTCACAATAATCCTATAAAGTAGGAACAGTTATCTTTATTTATAGAGAAAGAAATGGGCTTATAGATGTTAAGAAATTTATACAAAGGCACAGAGCCAGTAAGGGCAGAGCCAATTCAATGTACTCCAAAAACTAGTGCTTATCTATGTATTTCATTCATTCCTTCATTTAGAGGTATTCATTGAACATAGAAACTCTCTACCAGCGATGTGCTAGGTGTTTGGGATATAGTTATGGTCAAAATAGACACAGTCTTGTGGTTGGGTTGCTTATAAGTCTAACAATGGAGACAGAAAGAGAATTACAAACGAAGTATCAATGACAGTTGTAGCACATGCTCTGGAGGACGGTAGAGGGTGCTATGAGAATGTATAATGAGGCCATTTGGCAGGAGGAGGGAGTGAGGAGAGACAGGGAAGGTTTTGCTGAGACCTTTAAGGACTGAGTTGAAGTTAAACTGGGCAAAGAGCTACCAGGGAGAGGCAAGGGCATGTGCGAAGCCTCGAGAATAGGAGCAGCTTGTGTCTTGTAGTTACTGACAGACCTGTGTGGCCAAAGGATGAATGTTGCCCAAGTCAAACACACAGTGTAAGTAGGGGTCTAACCCTAAGAGCAGTAGTGCTCCCCAGACTTGGTTTATTTATAGTCAGCTCCACAAACCATATCTACTTTCCAGTTCTGATTGGAGTCCAAACTCCTTCTTCAAACGTGTGCTTAGACCTCTGGTTGCCTACAGGATGGAGATTGGGGATGAGAGGAGGGATAAATACCTAAATATGAGATGTGATTGGCATTCGTAATTTGCACTACAAAGCTAAATAGAAACTGAGTGCCAGGGTTTTGTTTCATCATATTGTCTCTGGTTTGCAAAATGATTTAGCAAACATTTTGTAGCTCCACTATGGTCCACACCCTGTGTTAGCAACCTAGGGTACAAATGTATAAGGACAATGTTTTCCTTCACCATGAATAATTTAGTTAATGTTTATTTGCCTTCCATTTAGGATGCTGCAGTTGTTTTATCAACATTATTTTTCAATATACATT